ATCCTTTCTAACCAGGCCATTTGAATCAAGGATGCAGATTTGATGATCTCCTAAGCCAGTTAGAATTGCTCTGTTCTTGGCTACTCATTCATTTATCAAATATTTATTGAAAATATATTTACTATGTGCCAGACACTGTGGCATATGTTGGAGATATACACCATGATGAACAGATAAATATGGTCCCCAACGGTTATATTTGGGGCTCAAGGTCTAGTGTAGGTTATAGACAAGTGAGCAGACAATTATAATATGGTATAAATAAGAGAAATTCAGAGTGCAGCAGAATCTTGTGTGAATGTTGCCTAACCTGTCCCCGGAAGAAATTTCTAAAATGTCCACACACTTATGCCTTGATTTCATGAAGATAACTCTTGTGTATCCTTCATCACAAGGGGCTAAATACATCACTGCAATTGAGGATGAACAAGCCCTTTTCCTCTGCAGGGAATACAGCAGAAAATTCCTGCCCTGATGAGGAGTTGATAGTGGCATCTTCATATTTCCAAAGGGCCAGTTAATATCATGGGAGGACAAAGGCATTCTAGCATGATAGAGGTGTCCAAGTCACTAGAATGAATACTCTTGGGGTAAAAAATATATTTTTCACAGAAATGGCAAAGGGAAGAGAGCCACCCTAACAAAGCTGCAGAAACCAACGTTGTGATTTTTGTCATCTCTCGGTTATTTTAGATGCTGGGACCACCACATTGCTGAAGGGTGTTTCTGCCTTCCATGGTGAGTGGAGTATTGTTTGCAGGAGTCATTTCCCTAAGTGTAGTTTCAGTGTGTCATTTGCTGTAAGTCACCTATGAACTCCCTGCTATCTGTGGCCACAGAGGAACCCTGTCACTAGCCCAGACACAATCATCTGACAGTCCATCAGGGAAGCGATGCTTCAAGTTTGATGAAAAACAGGAACAATAGTTTCATGAGTGGTATGCGCGCCTCAAATGGAAAGCCTCGGACAGACGCAAGGATGAAACTGGCTACCGGTGCAGAGAAAGACCCCTTAGTCACACTGCAAATCCCAGAGTCTCTCTGGACAGAAGCACACATTTCTGTCCCTTGCACAGAGTTTATAGCCAGGATGATCATATAATTCATCATCCAAACTGGGAAACCTTTGAGAGTGAAAAGGAATCTAAAAATAGTTAAGGGTCACTAAGCGATTGACAACGACATTAACGAGGCTATCTGAGCAAACCAGGACATATGGCCATTCTCCTTAGAGCAGATGTTGCTCTTGACTCCTGTGATAATGGCTTCCAGTATATTTGCATTTGTTTTTCCGGGGGGTTGTCTATCCAGTGTAGTTACCTCTGTGCTCCTATGGGCGTTTATTCGCTGGCTTATTTGTTTGGAGATCATAGACTGGGATGGAGGTTGGGATGAGAAATAACCATGGCTCCTTAACTCACGTGATATGAAATAAATACTTTGTCAGAAAAAAAAAAACTCCTCCAAAGTTACCTGTCACATCATCATAGCTCTCCATCTATAAATCAATTCTATGTCAGCCTTAGAAAAGGGGGAAGGGAGGAAAAAAAGAGAGACACACAAAGGAGTAGACTTCTATTTGATCCCATCTTTCAGTTTTTCCTTTTTTTGCTATTTTCTTATTTCTCTATGCTAAAGGAGGTATTATAAAGGGCTCATAACTTTAACAAATGAAAGTGTTAAAAGTAAGCTTTTATAGGGAGTATAATTTCCTTTAAGGGTTTCTTAATATTGAAACAACCAATTTACCTTCCTTTGCTTTTATAGGAAAAAACTACACTTTTTTAAAGCCAGGCAAGATTCTCAAAAGAAAAGTAAGTTATTGTTTTCGTGTGGTTTTTCACTTTGAGAGACTTACATTTCCAAACTGTCCTTTCTATAAGCTCCCAAAGCTCCCTGAGCATATTTCTGTTTAAAACTTACACATTTTGCTGCCGTTTGTTCACTTGCATGTCTCTGTTTCTCCACTAGACTGTGAGCTCATTGAAACAGGAACTGGCTTATTGATCTCCATACCCTTCAGTTGGTCCCTGAGATCTGGAGGCTAAATGAATTGAGTGGGAACAGTGAACGCAAAACGTAGAGGCATGAGACACTCATAAGGAGCTGCAAGGAGGCCAGCACAGGCACAGGGAGCACAGAAAAGGGGCAGGGGCTGGTGGTCAAGTTTAGGAAAGGGGCTTACGTCTTGAGAACTATAGGAGGTACTGAAGTTGCTTTCAACAATGGGCAGATATGATCACATTTGCATGAAAGACATCACCCCGGTTGCCGTATGGAGAATAAATTGTAGTAGGGAATGGCAAGAGCAGATGCTGGAAGACCACTCAGGAGGCTGAAGTGATGGTCTCTGACCACAGAACAAGCTGAGGTTACAGAGAGAGAGGAATTCGAGAAGGAGAGGGCAGTGAATAGTATTGCACGTAAGAGAGAGAATAAGAAAGTATAGGCCTGAGGACAGACTACTGCATTTTCTTCTAAAGAAGAAAAATGAAGGAGTTTTGCCTTTGCCTTCCTGGGTTTAAAGAGGAGAGCATAGTTCATGCACCCTGAATCTTAAAAACTAGCCTTGTAAGGTGTGTGAATAAATAATGCAGCCCTCCCACCCCTGACCATTTCACCCAGGGGAATTGTGGACCCAGGAAACCCTCACCTGCATCAGAGCAAAACATGGTAGAAATAAGACCTCTAATGCTGTGACTCACAGACCCGTTTTTCTGTACTGATAATCAGGCAGGTCCTAGATGGCCATGGAAATCTAGGGAGATGTAAGAATCTGGGGTATCTCTACTGAGGAAATTTAAATCCATATAAAGTGGCCTGCACAGGCACACCCACCGCCTGTGTAGGGTGGTATTGTGCGTGAGGCTTCCTCTAGAAAGCTCAGGTTTGCTTATTGAGCTTGTGCGTTTGTGAGGGGATGGCGAGTGTCTCCATCTGCCTCTTTGCGCAGCGGCCAGAGCCAGTTGCTTTTAAGAAAACCAGCTTTTGAAAAATCGGCTTGCTTCCGTTTGTATCTGCTAGCAGGCTCAGGAATGGGGATGTGCAGCTTAAGAGTTTCCTCCTCTGCAAAACTTTCTTTGAGCACCAGCTCCCTGCTGCCTACAGAAAAAATTACGGCCTTCCCCTGCATTGTGGATATCTCTCTTGGGCCCTTGTCTGCCTCACGTACTAGCCTGTGAGCCCCTTAAGTACAGGGGCTGTTTCTGATTCTTTGCCTGGTGCAGGGAAATTCAATGTGTTTTGCGTAACGAAGGGAAAGTGTGATTTCTTAACCAAAGGTTCACAGAATGTGTCTCCTTACACTCTGTCTCCCCTGAGCACAGCTCTAGCTGAGTCTTGTTTAAATGGGCCTGTCACTTCCCAGGGATGTGCTGTAGGTCAGGACAGGCCGATAAGGGCTACCCCAGCTGTTCCCTGGCTCTCTGGTTGCTTATATCCCAGTCCCCCCTCAAGTCTCCCCATGACCTGAAATTCATTGAGTGTGTTTTCTTTCTCCAGATGAAAGAACATCATCTGCTACCAGTCAGGTAATATGAAAATCTATGAGCTTTTTTCTGAGATGATGGTAAAAAATATAGACACCCCAGATGGCAGGAGAAGTTGGCCTTCGAGACCTCTTCTGACCTTAATATGAAAAAAAGAGTTCGGATGCTCATGCTTGTGAACCCAGGGACCTGTGCAGGGACTGGTGGCAGAAGCAGTAGCCACCTCTGTTGTACAATTTATTGAAAAAAAGCTAATATTTATTAAGCACTTAGTTTGTGCCAGGCAGTGTGTTGAGCGCTTTGCATGCATCATCTCATGTAACTGTCTCAACAACCCTGTAAGATTGGTACTATCATTTCCCCCATTTTACAGATGAGAAAACTGACAGATTAAGTGAGATTCCCCAACGTCAGACAGCTTTCAAGATGGCAGGGCCTGATTCAGAACCAGGCCTCACTCCTAAATCCATTCTCTCTGCCCCAGACTTTGCTGCTTTGTTTTATTATCTTCAGAGGTTTCATTGAATGAGAACTTCTCTTGCATTATTTCCCTTCATATGAATGCAAATATCTCTAGAATGGGTGCTTAAATATCATAACCCTGTCATATTTAGGTGTCATCAGAGTGTTCTCTTTTACAAGAATGGGCTGCTCAGGGCCCTGAGACTGGGGGAATTATACAGAGTGGTCAGGGGTCAATCTGGAACATGGGGCAAAGAGCACATGCCTGAGTTGGCTGAATACTTGGCAGCATAAGCACTCTGGCTGCCCGGGCCAGGGGGTAGGGTGGAGCAGTCATTCAGGAAAAAATAGCCAAGAGATGGAGGGGAGGAGGTTCATGGAAGACAGACTGTGCCCAGGTTGGGACTGTGTTGAGACTGAAGTGTAAAGGGAATGACAGGGGCTCAAGTCTTGATGATAGTTCTACTTTGACCAGCAGGACAAGGCTGACCAGAGCGCTGCGGAGGAGCTGTGCTACACCCTCATCAATCACAGCATCCTCAGGAGAAGGCCATCGGGGGCCTCTACTGAGGGCTATTATGAGAATGTTCTCCCCCAGGACAAGAGGCCCAGAGAGCTGGTGAGAGGAACCGAGACTGAGTACTTACTTCTCCGTGTGCCGTCCACCCCTAGACATCTGCCTTCCCCAGAAAATGATTATGAATTTCTCATGCCCAGTAGAATCTCCGCTAACACCCTGCAACAGACACATCTACTTACGTCCCCTTCTGAGGCTCAGGTTTCCTATTTATAATGAAGTGGTTGGGCCAACATTTGTTTGACACCGGTAAATAAAAGCTGTGGGGAGGGAGGCTCTGGTTGAAGCAGGCATGGAGCACAAAGCCCTTCCAGCTTATCTCCCTCCTCATCCCCCACATACACACAACATCCTTTTCTACAGGGGCCTCTGCATAACATGGTTTGTAAACCACAGGGCCTTTTAGACCCTACTCAATATTCAATATCTGAAGATCAACCAACTATTCTGAACACCACTCTTTGAGAAAGGAGTGAACATATTTGGTCCTAAGTGGCTTTGGAACTGGGCTGCTCTACTCAGTGGCAGGAGGGGCCTCCTGGTCCCTACAGTGATACACATCACAAAGGGCTCTGCTCCTCTGCCCAGGTTCTTCTTATAAAATGGCCACATGATTTTCCTCTGAAGTCACAGGAATCCATTCATTCCACACGTTTTTGTGGGCCTAACTTCTAGTTCACAGACTTCTGGGGGGCACCTATGCACCCCTCTCACTCCATGCCTCTAAGTGGTGTCCTTTGGATAGTGTCTCTTGACTTGTTGGCCCTGGTGGCTTGGCTGGTTACATGGGTTGAATCAGTAAGTCCCAGGCCAAGATTTTATAAATTTTTTATATGATTTTGGTCCATATTTTTTTTAACTTTGTATTTCTCCCCAGAAATCTTAAGGAAATCATAGCATCAGAGGATAATAGAGTAGAAAGATCATTGGAGATCCCCTCATCCCATTAACCAATGTAACATTGCAAATTAGTGGCAAAACGTTATTTGCAGCCTAATTTCCTGGCTTCCATTTCAGTGTTCTTCCAATATACTACATACTCTACTCTATGGTGTGTATATATATATATATATATATATATATATATATATATATATATATGTATATATGTATATGTATGTATGTATTAAGTAATATGTCATGTATAAAATATGAGTAAAATGTCCTCATGGGAAAAATAACACACACACACACACACACCCCTTTGTTAATGAGTACTTCTCTGAATGCTCCAATTATTTATTATCCCTCATCTTTTCTTCAATGTTGTTCCTAGAATTATGTTTATCCCCCAAAACGGGTCAGCAAACTATGGCCCAAAGCCCAAACCTGGCCAACTGACTGTTTTTGAAATAAAATGTTATTGGAAAAATCCAGCCACACTTATTTGTTTATGCAATGTCTGAGGACGTCACAGGAGAGTTGAGTAATTGTGATACACACTGTAGGTCATGCAAGAAAAAAAAAAAGAAATATTTATTTTTTAGCCCTTTCCCCCCCAAAAAAAAGGAAGAAGAAGAAAAAAGAAAGAAAAAGTTCACAGACCGCTGCCCTAAATAATCAAAATTGAGATAAACTAAATAGAAATGTGTTTGGGTATTGATGTAATGCAAAAGAGCTTGTATGAATATAATGGTATGGAAATATTAAACCACAAGTTAGATGAGTGAACCCAAGAATAATTAGCAAATTAGACTATTTCTATATTCACACCTGTGTTCTCAACTTCTTGTTTAATTTCACCCATGGTCATTGCCCTAATTTTAGGGATGTTAAAACAGTAAAAGGTTTCTTGAGACAAGCATTAGATGCACTGTGTTTAATTACTGTTTTTTCCCCCAAACTAACAGAAGTTAAATAACCTTGTTATTTTAAATGTTCTAAGTGCACAGTGAGGACAAATCCAGTGGCTTGAGGTTTTACGAAGCAACTGCAGGCTCAGCGGGCTCAGCACAGTTCTGTTGAGACTTCAGCCAGTTGATGGTCATCAGCTAAAGAGCCAATCACATCTTAGTATTTTATCCTCTGCCGACTTCCTGTTCTTAGCAGAATTCTTTCCTGTGGAACCCTAACTTGGACCCTTGCCAGGATTCACTCAAGTTCAAAAGGAGGCATGAGTGGTAGCATGGACTACTTTATGCAACATAACATGGCATAGAGGAAAGAGTATGAACACTAGAGTTAGTTAATCAACAATTCAAATCTTGTTTCTATCTCTTCCTCCCTCTGTGATCTTGAGCATGTACCTTGGAAGCTCAGCTTTTTCACCCATAAACAGGAGGGTTACATCTAATGTATGTAAATCATCTCACAGACCCTGAATAAATGGTATTATTAATAAAAAATAAACAAAAAACTTTATGATGTATGAAAAGGCCATGTGCTGATGTCCCTGGTGAGCCAGGGTCACCCAAGCAGTCTTCCAGCAAAGCCAAAACATGGAATCACTGGGTTTTGTGCTGGAGTTTTTCACTTGGACACTGAACCATGTGGAAGCTGACTGGTGCAAACATTCTTAGTACAACAAAATAAGTTATATTTGTTTGAGTCTTATCCTGTGAAAGTATTACCTGTTCCAAATAGTATATGCTTTTTATCAGGAACATATTAAGTACAAATGCTTAACCAAAGAAAGTTGTTCTTATAATCAAATTTAAAGCGATTATGGAAGGGAATTATTTTTAAGCAGGAGAGCCCTTTCGGAGTGCTTTGAAATACTTACAATGTCTGTATATAATGCTGATCCTTTTCTATAGATTTCAGGGTTTCTGATAAAAGCTGTGCATCCTCTTCACAGAAAACTCGCAAGCACATGCGTGCGCACATATACACACACATTTGTATACAATATCAAGGGGTTGGGGGTAAAATCTCTTAGTTAAAGAATTCCTGTCTTGATAAAAAAACTGAAGCTAAGGGTTTAAATTGCATCCTCAAGCCACAAATATATCAGAAAACTCTTTTCTTTCTTGTTGGTCTTAAAACTGTGAACACCCAAAGTTCACAGACACATTTTTATGCAACAACTACAGGCTCTGTGGTTTCCGTTTTACATTCATACCAGCATCTATAAATAGTCCCTTAGTCTGTGAATGCATTCTTATTTAGAAGAGAAGGTACAAGAAAATGACAAAGATAGATGAGGAAAATCTACCACTGACAACAAATAAATTCAAATGCTGGTGTTTTTAAGACCAACTTGGGTGACAGGTGCTACACCTATTGTCAAGGATGGAAGGGCATAGGCGGAACAGAAACGATGAGCCCTCAGGACTCCATGGGAGCCTTCAGAGAAAAGGAGATTCTGTTTCATTTTTCTCTTCCAAACCAGCTTCTTGTGTTCAGAAAGAAATTTGAAAGTCACTTGATCTGAGCGTACCTCAGTTCTGCCAGTTATTAAATGGATCAGTATAAGTCCCTCCCACTTCCCTACAGAGGGTTCTTTTGCAAAGCATTTGGGGAAGGATTGAATGTCATTATCATCCCAGAGAGTCTTCTGCAATCTGATAATGACACCTTTGAATTCATTCCTCACCCATCGCCACTTGTGCTCCTCATGACTTCCCAGATATCAGCTAAACCTGAACTGAGCTTGATGCTGGGATGCCTATATCCAGATGAGAGGTCATGGTGTATGGTTGCCCAGTGAGCTGAGCTTTGCTCTCCAAACCTGTGGAACTCTGGTCTTGTTCTTCCACCTCTCCAGACCTTAGTTTCCTAACTATAAGAGGAGGGGACTGCTTTCTGACGCTAAGAGGATATGAGCTCTAATTATAAAGAAAAAATGTAAAGGAGTTCTCTGGATACAGCTGTCAGCAATGCAGTGATAGTGTGAATGAACTTATCTGAAAGCAAATAAACAGTAATGGGAGCAGAGAAGAGAAGACTTAAAGAGATGTCTCCCATTTTTCTCATCACTGATCAGACTCTGAATAGGGCAGGAGTGTATGTCCAGAGTCCACATCTAAATGGGAAAGAAGAGAATGTGCACCTCATCCTAATGAAACACAAACTTGTGTAAAGAAAGGCAAACCTGTTTATTCAAATCCCACCAGCGCTTCAGGGTTCAGCGGGTATCCTACTTCCTAGGCAAAGTCTTCTCCAATTAAACTGTACTGGCTACTTTCCTCCGACCACCCACATCCCTATAGTTTGTCTTTATTTAGTTTTCACATCTGACCACTTTTTCTGTTGTTTCTTGTTTCATCTGTGTAGAGCCTGACTCCCCATAAGACCAGCAGCGTCTTTTATTATTGTCTTCTTCTTCACTAGTGTTTCCTATAGCCTTTTGCAAAGCACATCATTAAAAAGTCTATAGATCCATCCAGGCATGTTGTCGCAAATGGCAGTATTTCAACTTTTCTTATGGCCAAGAAATATTCCACTGTATTCATGTATATGTAGTACTGCATCTTCTTTATCTAATCATCTATCGAAGGACACACTTGTGTGGGATATAAAACTGAAAACAATAAACGAACAAGACAAACAAAAACTCATAGACACAGATAATAGTTTAGTGGTTATCAGAGGGTAAGGGGGAAGGGGAGATGGTAAAGGGTGAAGGGGGTCAAATATATGATGATGGAAGAACTCACTGTGGGTGGTGAACACAATGTGATATTTAGATGATGTATTTATTATAGAATTGTACACTTGAAAGCTTTGTAATTTTACTAACAAATGTCACCCCAATAATTTAATACATTTTTTTTAAGTCTGTAGAACTAAATTAAATTGCAAGGCAAAAATTAATTGGACACATGCATAGACTTTTGTTGGAATTGGGAGATAGGTTCCACTGATCTAGCTGTATCCTCTGTCCATATCTAAGGCACTTCCAGAAAAGACCAGCTTTACTTCTCAAATCGTTCAATTTTTTCACAAATATTTGTTGAAAGTTCATGATGCACCAGGTGTTATGCTCATCATTAATATGTGTGATGACGAATAAATTCACCTGATAGCAGAACAGTAGATATGTAAGTGCCATTTTTTTCCAAACACCTCAAAATGTTTTACTCACAAAGTTCAGCATTTTTTCCACACCACCTCCTAGACCAGAGTCAACTCTAAGGAAAATCTTATGACTTGTAAGTAGTACTTGCATCTTGGTGCTTTCCAAAGAAAGAAATATGAAAACCAAACCCTGTCCTGTCCCCTGATCTGAACCAGCCCTTCTTTCCAGCCCCAGACACCTGGCCCTGCCAGAGAGGGCCCTGGGAAGAAGTGGAGGGGTCAAAGGCCCCACCCTCTGCTTACTGGACCAGATAGGACTCAGCCTGCCCCAGCATACCCCAGTTCAATCTTATTCCCTCAGAGGAAATTCCCTGAGAGGAAGCTGCCCTCAGGGAAATGACAAGATCACTTCCAACACCATTTACTGCAAGAAAATATCAACCCAAACCATGGCTCTCAACACCAGTGAAGCAAACACAAATGAAACAATGCAGAAGCAACAATAATTTATTGCAAATATTTTTAAATCCTTTTCTATTGAAGTTTTTCATTATTTTCTAAAAAGTACAAACACACTAAGGTTTACATTTGACGTGTAAAAAATAAAGAGGAAGGTGGAAAATCCACCTGTTTCACCAGTTTGAGGAACTACCCTCAAAATGAGACACTGAGTTACAATAAATGTATCTTCTAGTTAAATAAGAAAGTTCACATTCTCCAGTCTTGGGTCATAAAGAACTTAAGGTAAATCTAGCTGAGACACACACTCAGACACATCCCCGTACATAGCTGCCCTCATACTAACTTCCACCCAAGTCCAATTTAACTGAGATATTGGGGCTAAGGGATGCTCATTATAGGACCACAAAACTCTTTCTCCTGGAAAATGTCCAGCAAAACGATGTTCCCAACAAAACATTCTGTTCCCTCACGACAGGCAATTCTCTATCTGTAAATGGCCAATACAGTCAATAATATTGCCCCCATCCTGCAAATGAGTTGGCATTAAACTTCCAACAGTTTATTTCAAACAGAGAGTGGTTCTTCCTGTTTCACAGCCATCTTCAACAAGACCCACAATCAATGTCTGAAGACACTGAGTCCTGCAGAGAGGCTATTAACACTGGACAGTGAAAAGCCAATGCGTAATAGCTATAGCAGATGGTACATAGTCTTAATGATTCCCTGATGGAAGCGTGTGAAAATATACATGGGAAAACTATCCAAAATGATAGCTGTGTGCTCAAAACTCACAGGGAACCATGTTTCTAAAAGAGGCATTCAGGAGTCACAGGCACAATGAGGAGACGCACAGTAATTAAGAAACACACATCTTATTTCTGCAGCTGTGAATAACACAGTAACGTTGGATGATGTGTCTGCCTACGGGCCACGGACGGTTTGCTAAGATATGGAGATACAGGTCATAGAAGTAGCGCAGAACCATGCTGCTTCGGTCTTGTAAAGTGCCTTCCTTTTCCTCACAGGCTTGCTTCGAGGTAGATCAAAAATAACGGTGAGCGGGAGGGGGAACTGTCAGGAAGCAAGTGGCCCAGTTCTCCCTCACCTCACTGCCTGCCTCTTCTGTGCTCCCTTCACTGGCACAGGTTGGCAGGGTTCTTCCTGAAAGGCCACCCTAGCACGAAAGAGAAGGTGTCCACGTGCGGGCAGAGGCAGCTAGTTCTTCAAGAAGAGCAGGACCTCACACTGCAAGGTTCACCCAGCCACCCAGTCACCCCTTCCCCATCTGGCTTCCTGCCTTTGTCACGACTGCAACCTGCTGGAGCAGCTCTCCAGTGCAACTTTGCTGGATGACACAACTGCAGAATCAGGAGAAAAAAGAACCTGTCCACCCCTCCAGTCATGTCAAGTCCTTCTGTTAATTCACAGGATCTTTTCTGCAAAACCGAACAATTCTCTTCATCCCACAATTCAGTGGAGCACTGCTTTCAGACACAGACCCACCAGCACCACTTCACTCTGAAAAGAAAATACAAAGAAAAGGTGCTAAAGTTTTTAAATCGTGATTATTTTAAACATTTTATGTTTTTATTTGACTTTATTGGGCTTAAGCATAAAATCATGTAAAACCGAAATGTTTGTAAATTCCTAAGTTTACTCTTTGGTCAAAGCCACACACACACACACACACACACACACACACACACACACACACACACAACTTTGAATCCTTTTCAAAAGGCAAATAACACATTGTTTGCTCATTTGTTTTGGTATAATTCATGACAAATAACACTTTGATGAGGCATTTTGGGTACTGAGGACATGTTAACATTCAGTTCTTTTTCATAATCTAACTATAAAAATACCTCTAAATTCTCAGGTTTTTAAAAGATAGACAATGTCCTGTGGAAAATTTCTGATGAGGGAAACGGCGTAGACTGGCCTGACCTGGTGGGGGTACAAAATTGCCCTTGCTGAGAATTCCTGCTCTTTGGGTAAACTCTCCAACTTCCCTGAAGAATATATAAACCACCAAAGTGGTTTTCCCTGAATGCCCCAGGTGGTCCTTTCAAGGACAGAACTCACACTGGCTTCTCTGCCAGCAGCCAGCCCATCCATTTACCCCAAAAATGTGCAAACAAGATTCACTGCTCTCGCTTCCTGGAGCGTCTTCCTCTTCTCTCACATAAATCCCGCTTTGCCTTTCTTCCTCACTGGTCTCCTAGCTGACTCCTTCACAGGAGAGAAAACAGTACAAAATAACCAACCCATGCCCGAAATAACTCAGGACGTCCAAATTAAGCTACTGTTTTACATTTGTAAAACAGACTTCCCCTCCTTAGACCCAGTCCCCACCCATACATCAGGCGAAGGAAGAAGTTCAAAGACAGGGCGAGGGGGGAGGGGACTGGATCCATTAAAAAAAACTTCCTTCAACCTTGAAGGCATTATGCTAAGTGAAATAAATCAGATAGAGAAATACAAATTATACAGGTCTTCCTTATATGTGGAATCTAAAGAAAAGAAACTCACAGAAAAAGAGAGCAGATTGGTGGTTGTAGGTGGGGGGGAGGGGGCGGGGTAATTTTTACTTACTGGAAGAAAAATCTTGCAGTAAGAAGATAAATAAGTACTAGGGATGTAACGTACAACATGATGACTATAGTTAACAACACTGTATGGTACATTTGAAAGTTGCGAAGAGGGTAGATTCTAAAAGTTCTTATGACAAGGAAAAAAAATGTAATGTTAAAAAGAAACAACAGGCTTAAAATGAAGTCACTTGTGCTGAGCCTCACGGAGACTTCCTCACGGAGACTTACTACCTAACTCAATTACAATTTCAAGTTTCTCCCAGGAATGGAATTTTAAATGAGTCTGGAATTTCCTGGTCAGCCTAGTGAGGTAATCTGCCTGATAATTCTGCCTGAAAACCCCCTGCTTTTTCCTAAGAGATGGTAACCCTGCCTGAAATAATCAACTCTTTTAACTAACTTCCTTGTCCCACCCTCTTTCTGCCTATAAAACCCTTTCATTTTGTACAACTCTTTGGAGCACCTCTCTGTTTACTAAGTGGGCTGCTTACCGATTCATGAATCATTCAACAAAGCCAATTATATCTCTTTAAGTTTATTCAGTTGATTTTTTGTTGTCTAATAGTAACTATATGAGGTGACAGATGTTAGCTGAATCTATTGCAGTAATCATTTTGCCAGTACATGTGTGTCAAGTCATTATGCTGTACATCTTAAATGCCAGTGTTATAAGTCAATTATATCTTAATAAAACTGGAAGAAATTTGAAAATAAAAAATTCCCTTCTGATTATAATATTAAGGGATGTTTTATTTTTATAAGGCATTGAAATATGCCT